TGAAGGCTGGTGGTTGGAAGTGGGGATGAGAAGTCTTAGGGAAGGTAAGAAGGAAGGATATAATCACCATCTCAAAGAGGATACATCCGGAGCACCATCACCTCCTCGGATACATCCCACAAAGAGGAAAAGGACTACACACAGAAATCTGAAAATTAACTCAACTAAAAATCGACTCTTACACACAAAAAACAATAATTTATGGACTCCGCCTGGGGAAAAATAGGAAAGAAATAAAAAGAAAAACTCCCACACAAAAGAAAGGCAAGAAGAATCCAAAAACGTTTCTTTGGTGTGGTGGCCTCCTTCCCGGATCGCAATAGTTAGCAATCCTGCTCCTGCTTCAAGTATCTTCCCGTCTTCGCGCGGCTTCTTAAAAGTAATTTAATTGCCCATTGGTGATAAGATTATATTGCTCAACTTGAGAAGATCTCTCCCTTTTGCTAGGACTATACATAACTTGGCTTCTTATCCCCCGTATCTTTTACTCTCACCACACATTAAAAATTTTTAAATCCAAATATAAATATATCCATAGGTGATGCTAGTAACTTATACCAAACACAGATCGAGCGTAAGAAAGAAATCATAGAGAGAACGAAAACAAAGGAGTGAAACTTTGAGGATTTCATAAGATTTTTGTTAGAAAGAAAAGGTTGACATGATCTCAGTAGGTTCAATGCTACAAGAATAGACATATTTGTGCAGTATAAATAAAGTTATATAACAAGGTTTAATAATACATATAAAAATATCTAATTTTTTCTAGCTGAAAGGTGTCTAAGTGCTTAGACTACTCTTTATGATTTCTAAAATAAGGATGATATGTTTGAGCAAGAATTTCCTTTGATGAGTTCTCTTGGCAAGTTCATATTTAGTGGATGGATAGCATTTATGCAATTTAGCATCTTCACTTGTCAAGTTATACGAGTGATTGTATAATATTTTCTGACGACTTCGGCATAGAGGCAAGTTATTACATTACTTTAAAGTGAATGCTTCTTTGGCCAACTTAAGAGTTTGGTGAATTAGTTCAAGTGTCGAGAACTTGTTGAATCCAAGTTATGTGGAGTTATAATTTAATTGATCTAACCCATGGTCATTTGGTGTAAAAAAACACCCAGTAACTATGGAGAAATACATATCTCATATCCTACTAGAAGAAAAAAAAATTACATTAAAAATATGAATGACGAAGGAATATATGCTTTCTAGTCTAGACCTTTTTCTTTCTTAAGCAAAATACTTGAGAGGAGTTTGGGATCACTTTTATTTTTGTATTTTTTAAATTAAATTAACTTATTTTTTTATTTTTAAATAAAACTTATTTGACAAGTTAAAAGTATAATTTTATTTCTATTAAATATTGAATACATTGCTTTATGCGGTGGTGAAGATTGCTGGCGACATTGCTACAGTGGTTGGTGGCAAGCATTAGTGATAGGCGGCAGTGGGTTGGGATGGCCAACTGCGGGCAACAACTAGTGGTGCTGATTGTTGTTTGTAGAACATTGAAAATAGTTTAAAATTATTTTGAGTATTTATAAGTTGATTTATTTTTAAAAATAAAAAATAAAACTATGTAAAAATATATAAAATAAATCTGTTTTTAAAAACAAATGTAAAATGACAACAATAATGATCTCAAAGAGGCTTTCAGTACTCGAATGATAATTTATAATTATCAATCAATATTGCTTAAAGATTTAGTGATATGTGGTTGAGAGGTTTAATTAGCTTGAATCCATGAAACAAAAAAATTTATTAAAGTGAGAACATAGCTTTTCCAATAAAAGTTGGGTAATTAGAGAAAGAGAAGTCTTGGGATATTAGGGGCAAGATAAAATTATGGAGATTCAAATTAAATATTACAAAATTTCTTTCATTTTCTTATATCATGTAGATATAAGCATCAAGTAACATAAAAGTCATTATAGTCACTTTATGTGTGTTAAAAAAGTGTTAAATTGTTATATGCTAAAATTTACGAATGAAATTAGCATATTTTAACAAAGGTGGCTGCAAAACTTATCCATAGTAAGGTAGTAGAAGAATAAAGTTGGATGATTTAGCCATTAATAATGAGCAAAGCAAAACAATAACTAAGATAGGCTGATAGAATTAATATGAACAATTAGTAAGGAAAAATGGGATTACAAAGGTAACACAGACAGCAGGCTACATGCACTAATTAGAGTATTAACCCCATGTATCACTCAACAAAATTAAATGCAGGTCAATTGGTCACTAAATCATCTCCCACAACTTCATGTATAGATGATCTCTTAACACCATAAAAGTTATCACATGTTATTTTTATTGTTTTGAAAATTTGATTACTTAATAAGGCTCTAAGTACTCTGCAAGATTTTCAGTACTTTTTTGTCACCAAGAACATATTTTTATGTCCATCAGAATATTGCAATCACTAAATGAGAAGTTGCATGAGAGTCTAAAGATACACTTGTCAATTAGGTAACACTCATGCACTACTAACTCAAATGTTTAAGATTTAGCATGAGAAAATCATGAGAACAGCATAGCCACATTTTCAGAACTATATAAGAATCAGTAGAAAGGTTATCAAAACCAGAAACTTACTTTACGATTATTATTCTGAACAATGTTGACAGCATCCTGGTTGCTAATTTGCTCCCAAAGCCCGTCAGATGCAAAAATAATAAATTGGTCATCAGGATGCACTTTCTGTACAGATATTGATGGCTCTGAACTAAGTATGGGTTCTTTGAAAGTTTCTCGCAACCGAAATTTTACATCCAGTGGCTCTCTATTAAATTCTGCCTTTTTTAGGAAAGCGTCACCAATTGATCTGGAAATCTGCTGGTTCATAATAACATCTATGAGAAAAAAATTAAAATATTTTTCTGACTATTTTTAGGGAACCATATTAATCCCAGACTATATGAAAGTTTCAACTTAGTCCCTAAACTCTCAAAATAGGAGCTAAAATAGTTTAGTCATTCAAAGTAACACATTAAAGCTAAAGCTGATAAATGGTGCTAAAATGAGGATACTTTAGAAGTGTGCACCTTAACATTTTATAAAATTTAATTTCCTACTTTCTCTATTTAAGATATAATCTATCAGTAATATTCTCAATATATTTTTGTTTTTAGATGCTTCGTGATGAACATAATACAAATTATATTCATAAATTTTAGTAATTATTCTTGATAAAAACTTTTAGAAAATATACCCAAAATTAAAAAAAAAAGATTTTATAAAACTTCCATTGTGTGGATTCTGAAAAATATCATCATTTTTTAGCGCCAAACATTAATTTTGATTTCAATTTTAGTTACTTTTAATAGTGAGACTATCTGGCTCTTATTTTAAGAGTTCAAGGTTGGAATTGGCTCTTTTATGTAATTTGAAACTAAAGACATCATTTTGATCTCTTCTCAATAATCAATAAGAGGAAAGTATAAAATTTTTAGTCAAATCTAGCATGAAATCTAAAACCTGACATCAAAATTTCGCAAAACAGAAGCAAAGTATATAACGTTGTCCACTTGACAATGAAAATGACAACATAAAACCTATTAGCACTCTATAATAAAGCTCATCAAGAACTGTACAACGTGCATTTCTTCCTATATGATCAAGTAAGAGCGCGCACACACGCACACACATGCATATAACATAGATGAAAATTACCTGTATGAGACCCTTAACACGCCAAACATTGTGTTTCAATAAAACAATTTGTGGGTCATCCGGATGCGACGATTGCAACTCCTTTCTAATCGATTCAATTGATGCATTGTGCTCAGCAGATAATTGAATAGCCAAAACCTCACCAGTCACTCTCACAAGCCTCCCAAGCACAGCTCTTGAATCTCCGAGGCAAGAAATATAAATTGTTCCGTCGCAAACTATGCCAACAAGACAACACGCGCCAGTTGCAGCAATATGAGGATTTAGTGGCCATTGTTGAGAGACTATTGAAAAAAAGCCATCTTCTGTGGCACGAATTGCTTTTCTTATTACATCCGCGGACATCGATTGTTGCTCAGTCAACAATCCTGCAAAGAATTTGTGAAAACATCAATGAGTGAAGTTGAAAGAAACAAAAAAGTGTGCTCACACATTTAAAATCATGAATTCATCAAATAAGCAGGTTAAAGTGCTATTTCAACAATAAATTCTATTTATAAACATAGGCGATTGTATTTACAAAGATAGGCAATTCAACAATATATATCAACAAAGAAACTATGGAAGAAGTGCAAAGAAAAGTAAGAATGTGGCCTGCACATGTAAAAATTTAGGTGCTTATTTATTTTTTGAGCAAAGTGTCAAAATAATCCCCGACTATGTACATGGGGCTATTTTAGTTTCAGAGTTTATATAAGTGTCAAAACAACACCCGATTATTTAAAAGTTGAGCTCTATTAGTCCTCCATGGGGACTAGTTTAGCCTCAATTTAAAGAATCTAGGGACTATTTTGACACAAACTCTGGGACTTACCCCATGTAAATAGTCGGGGATTATTTTGGTGTTTTACTGTTTATTTATTTATTTATTTTGAGAGTATGCTAGTGTGATTAAATGTGTCAAGTGACCCCTTCAACAATTTTTTATAGTGAATCATATCTTTTCCTGCATATGGTTTGATATGATTGAGAGTTGAGGCACTGAAGTATCATATAAGTAAATATCAAAATTTCGGTGTTGAATATGAAAATACATAAAAATCATGGGCATACCATTAAATTCTTATGTACTTACATCTCTAAGGCCTGAAATTTGATAATCCATCATGTAGCACCTAAATTTTTAAATACATAAATGTTCTGGAGTCCCCTCAAATAAAATATCTTGAAGCAGAAAGAGAGTAGAGAAATGAAAAAAACCTTAAGAGAATCAATTTATCCTAACAAGTTCTAAAAGGAGAAAAAAATATATATAGCCTTCTGCGTCTCCTGAAGAACAAACTGCTTCTCAAATAATAACATACAACCTAATTTAGCCAAAACATGCAGAATTGTCCTCCAAGTTAAGTAAACTGATTCTACTAATACACAACAAAGCCAAAACCAAAGCATACTACAAAAGAAAAACATTTGGAATCATTGAATTCTAATTGCACCAGGAAAATCTTTCTATTCTCAGAACATTACTCTTGATATGCCCAAACAGATGGTTAGTGATGTATTGAGCCGCCTCTGGTCCTCCATGGCCATCATAAACGCCAACAAAAGAACCAAAAGGACCAGAATCCATCAAGCTCAGCGAACCGGATTCAACCTGGCTCTCGTCCTCAAGCAACCTATTAGCCTGGAGCACAGCCATGGAAAACTCCCCATTAACATGCTTGCCAAAATCCTTGTACCAAAGGAGCCCATCCTGCCGACCGAAGCCATCAGAGCCTGCGCCCAATATCCTCTTTACTGGCGGCTTCCACAGGCAACCATTCAGAAAGTTAATGAACAAAGTTACCATCCCTCATCTCACAAAAAAAAAATCAGATCTTGATATGCGTCCAATACTGCAATCTGAAACAGATAATGAACCAAAAAAAAAAAATGATGACAGGTAAAACTCGAGGGGGAGGAAGATAAGCAAAAGTCGCCCTTTTTAGGAGGATATAAACCAGTGAAGGAAAAGTTAGAAACTTTGAAGAAAAAAAGGAGTATGATTAAAATCAAAAAAATTCTGTTTCGACCCTCTGATTGAAATCTCTCCCACCTCCATTTTTTTTTTCTGCAAGAAACTCAAGACCTAGCCCCAAAATCATTTTCTCCTCAGAAAAAAAATATCCGGGTAGCACAAACCATCAAAAATAAAATAAAAATCAAAATAAAAGAAACTGTAGTCGGATGTTTTCTTGCATCTCTGAAACAAAAAAGAGCAGCATACAGAGAAAAAAAAACACACCTTGGAATTTAGCCGAACAGGGTCTCTCTTCTTCTTCTTTGCCTGATTTATTATTTTGTAGGCATCGGAGGCCCCCGTTAAGGGCAGATATGAATAATTGAAAAAAAGACTGTAGTAAAATCTTTTTGATAATTTATTCCGAATTAGGATCGCTTCATCAATGAAGTCATAATCAGACAAAATATTTTATATCGAATTATGATCGATTCAAATGTTCGAAGTGTTTCAATTCTACTTTCGTCGTATATATTCGGGTGTTTGTTTGCGAAATTCTAAATACATATGCCGTTTAAGTTTGAAAAGAAAAAAGTAAGCAAACAAAAAAAATGGTAGCCGGAGCACTTAGCGGATGAAATTTTCTTCAGAAAATAAAAAAAGCGCACACATTTTTTTAAGGGGATTTATGTATCCAACAACTAATTCTTATGCATTTATATAGCTCACATCAAAATTTAGATTTCTACAAATCCAACATTTCACCTGTCCATGAAAATTCTTGAAGATGGGTCTAAAGGCTTTGAGAAAAACTCCCAAAGCTTTGGAATGAAAGTTCTTTTCTTAGGAATTAATGCCTTAGAGTATGTCTCTCGAAACGGCTTGTTGTTTGTGAACAATTTATGTTTGACTCGTTAAGTAGCTCGTATTTTATTCATTTGTAAGGTAAATGAGCCAAATACGAACAATTTTTTTTGCGTTCAGTATATAAACGAGCTGAATAAAAACAAAATTTTTTTTATTGGTGTTTAGCTCGTTTTGGCTTGAAAATTAATATATATATATA